GGAGGGGTGGTGGAAGAGAGAGAGAATCTTAAGCAGGCTGCATGCCCAGCACAGAGCTGACATGGGACTCAATCCTATGACCCTGGGATCATGATCTGAGCCAAAATTAAGAGTCAGATGCTCACCTGACAGAGCCACCCAGCCACCTCTTCCAGTCTTGGAGGAGTGGTCTTTTGTGGATGAACCTTATAATTCAACTCTGCCCTAGCTCTTGGTTGTTTCTCAAACCTTTGTGTTTGTCTAAGCAGCCTACTTTATTCTTAGTAGATCCCAGTAGTTGAAGTTGTGCCAAAACCTGTCAGTACCTAGACTGAGGCTGATTAGAAGCCAGACCTTCAGGCAGAGGCTCTTAAAGTATCCAAAAAACCTTTCAGGGGGAAGACTGGGGACTGGATGTGTCTCCCTGCTCCCTTTACACTGAGCCCTGGGGTGGTAGCCAGTTAAGAACTATTTGTTTGCCAGTGTCCTGTTGAACCCACGAACACGAACCCCACTGGCTACCAGAGCTACCAAGAGGTACCAGATGCTCGCATAAACTCCTTTTTGGGAGACACTGGTGACCTGGAGGGAGAGAGTGCGCACACATGGTGTCTGCTGGCCTCCATCTTTGGAGAATATTTCAGTAGACCCCTAGATGTGTGTTAAATCTAGGTGTCTGCCCTTCAGGCCAAAGCTTTAAGAGCAGCAAATAGGCCTCTTTCACAAAAAAAAAAACAAACAAACCCAAAAACTGGGCATCTTTCAATTGGTGGGCTCTGCACAAGGCCCTGGCAGGTAGCCAACTGAATCTGTGTGAATCCTTGAAGTTCGATACAGCCTTGAGGGTCTTGTGGATGCAAGTCCCATGGCTTTCAAAGCGAGGTGTTTTGAGGGATTGTCTCTTTGGTGTAGCTCTTAACAATAGGGTGCCAAATATGGGGTTCAAACCCTTTGCAGCTCAGGGAGAAGCTTGGAGGTGTAAGTTCCTTCCTGATGTGTGCCTGCACCAGGCACGGGGGTGTATGGCAAGATCGTGTCTCAACCTCTCCCACTCGTTGCAATATAGTTTTATTCTCCCTCACCCAATGTGTAGGAATGGCTCAGGTAGTTTTTGGGTTTCTTTCAGAGGAAATTGCCCCATATGTAGCTGTAGATTTGGTGTGTCTGTGGGAGGAGAGGAGTTCAGGATCCTCCTACATTGCCATCTTGAACCAAAACTAGGAAAACTTATTTTTGGATGTAACTTAAAATACAGTCAGGCTACCAATTGTATTTATAGGCTAAATCTGTTGTCAAATATTCCATTAATAACACAGATTATCAAAATGAGAGAACACAGATGACAATCTAAGTCCATTCTTTTCCTTTCCAAGTTGTCTACTCAGTCACCAAACTACTATAACATTGCCCTCAGTGGATTCCATTAAATCCTAAACTAAAAAATGCCAGTGTATTTACAAAAGGGGGTGGGGAGGTGCCTGGCTGGCTCAATCAGTGGAACATGTGACTCTTGATCTTGGGATTATGAGTTTGAGCCCCATGTTGGGTGTAGAGATTACTTAAAAAATCTTTTTAAAAAGGCCAGTGTACTTATAATAAGATACGTATCTATGCAAGGGACTTAAGAGTTTTGTCTCCTGGTCAAACTACATGTGAAACAATTATAATCCCAAGATTGCTTGGAATCATGGAACTGATTGAAGGTGTCTTATTACTAACAACAGGAGTGAACATTTAGTGACCAATTAGTATGTTTCAGGCTCTATGGCAAAGTGCTTAATGTGCATATTCTCTTTGAATCCTCACATCAATAGTATCACAGTTTTACAGATGAGGAAACTAAGGCTTTGGATTATTAACTAACCTTAAACTCGTACAGCCAAGTGGTACAGCATGGCTGTAAATCCACACTAATCCCCAGAGCCCCCACTGAATCCAGGACCACACCCCACCCCTCGAAATTTCAGGAGTACAGTTGACAAAAGGCCATTTATATTTAAAGACTCTTCTCATTTTAGAGGCGCCTTGGTGGTTCGGTTGGGCATCCAACTCCTGGTTTCGGCTCAGGTCGTGATCTCACAGTTCATGAGATGGAGCCCCGCATCAGGCTCAGCACTGCTGTGCGGAGCCTGCTTGGGATTGTCTCCCCCACCCTCTCTTTTTTTAAGTTTTTTAAGTATTTTGAAAAAGAGACTCTTCTCATTTTAAATGTTACTTTTCACCTTCTTGTTTGCTCACTTAATGACAAATCATCTTAATGACGTAAGACTCCACAATGAAAAAATGACCCTGAACTATCCCCAAACTATCTACTTTGTAATTATTTACTAGAGCAGAAAAATATGAGGCACATACTAGTTTCCTTCAGAAAAGTTTAAAATGAAACATCTTTGTCTCAAACATTAAACAGACTTCTGGTTGACCCAAGTTGCCTTTTACTTTCTTTCCTAATTCTTGACTCTTCATTTTTCCCCCCAGAGAAGGAATTACTAAATGTTGTATTTCCTTCTAGTATTTTCAGAAGACATCAGCTATGTTAACCTCAATTTTCATGTAATTTGTTCTTTTACCTCTTCTAAAAGTTTCATTTATATTTATTTCTCTGACTTGGTATTTATCCTTTTGGTCTTTAGGTAGTACCCAGCCACAAACATCAGTCGTAAGTTAGTAGCCTGATTATGCATTTATTCATTGGGTATCAGTGCCATTATTCTTTGAAGAGATACTTCCATCCTGCCCTTCTTAGGAAGTCCTTTGACACATTAGGCAAGTACAGATATGTCCCGTCATCACAGCTTTGTGTGACAGAAAGAACCCCGTCAAGTCTCAGTGTAAATCCCAGCTCCTAGGACTCTGCTTCATCACCTGTAAAATGGGGGTGATATGTACCACCTTCCAGCCCCTTCTATTGGTGCAGGAGGCCTTTCCTTCCCAGACAAGGTAGGCCGGAGACTTCCAGATGGGTCAAAGTCTCAGAGGCGTCTTAAGCAAGTGATGAAGCTAAGCCAGTGAATGCAAACACAGCTTGACAAATACCAGTACTTTCTTTAAACCACAGTAATACCCCTAAGAAGGTGTTTGCTCCCATCATCCCTAAGCAAAGATATTCTTTGGCTTCCTACTACATACCAAAATTGAGAGAACTTTTCTATCCAGTAACAGTAACCACACTGTCAATATTTTGAAATCGGTTTTCATTATTAAATTAGAAAAAGAACAAGGGGGCAGGGTTGATGTGCTTTATATATACTTTTAAGTAGATTGTGCATACCTGATTATAGGGACAGGCAGATAAATACTCTTTATAAAACCTAATGTAAATGGACTTGTAAGCCCTCCAAATTAAGAATTACTTAACATGCTATAATTTGCATGTTAAGTGACAGTTTATAAAGCTCCTTCGTTGGCATTAGGTCACCATGATATTTCAGAGCCCACCTTAATTCAGTGCTTAGCAAATAATTTTTACTGCTAGACTGAAATTCCAAAAATAGTGCAGTTATATGGAGCATATTCCTTGTCCAGCTTGCAGTCACGCGTTGATGTTGATGGAGGAGAAATTTTACAATAGGCAGAGGAACACATTAAAGGTAGAAATACAGTAGAAAGGCTAAATGTGCCTCGTGATGAAAATCTAGTGGTGAAATACCAGAATAGTAATCAGGAGAAGACCCAAAACAAAGCTTGATGATGTGAAAAAGGAGAAGGACCCAATAATCTAAATAAATGCTAATAATGACTTTTTTAACATCTCATCACAGAGAATCAGCCTACTTCATGAACTGGCTGAGACATTTGACACAGCCCTGTGAATTCACCACTAATCTTTGTGCGCTTGTGTTTTTGGGTGGGGGGGAGTGGGGGGAGGGTGCTGGAGGTTGGGGATAGAGGTATGAAAGGAGGGAGGGGCATCCATTTTAGGGATATGGAACCCAGAGAAGCCCTTAATTGTCCTTGCACTCAGCCCTGTACCCCCTGTGCTTCTGACTCTTCCCTTCCTCAACTGCCTCTGTCTCTTTAGCAGGTGGAAAGCTTTGGCGTGAAGCACGCAGAAAATTCCAGGAATTGTGCAGCTATATAGCAGGCCTATGAGGCAAACCTCTTCAACACAAACACACACCTTCTACTTGGGCTTGATGGGGTAGCATAACTATTGTGCCAATTTCTGATATGTTTCTTCCCTCAAGCCATATGAATGGAGAAAACTAAACTCTGGCAATGCAGAAGAGCCTTCCACACTCTGCCCAAAGAGACACAGCTTGGTTAAATACATTTGAACTCCCTGAATCCATCACTATCACAAGCAGTATGATGGCTTTTAAAGCAAGGTCCCTGAACCGGCAGCAGCATCTCCTTGGGAAAGATTAACCAGTCAAGGCACACTAAATCAAACTCTGGGGATGTGTTTTAACAAACCCTCCAGCGAGTCTGCCGTACATGTTTGAGAACAAACACTCTTGCCACATTTAGCCTGTCTATGACAAAGGCTAGCTAGCTGTCAAAAACCAGACTAGACTGGGAAGGTTCCCAGGACCAGATCATTTGGCAGAGTTGCAGGCTGTGAGGGGTTTGAAGCTAATGGTGCCAGGTCACCAGCCCAGGACTAGAAAAAATGCAAAATGGCATGTTCAGGGTTCTCTGGATCTATGATATTGTGTGACAAGTGGCAAGCAAACTTGGCATTTTCTAAACGGGTGATGATGTAACAGAGTCATAACCTGTTTTCCTGGATCTCTTGCCAGATTTCTAGGGCTTCAACATGTAAAATGTGAAGTACTGTGGATTTCATACCCCTACACTGAGTAGCATACCTCATGCTCTCTCTTATATGAACTGACAAGCACTGTAACTCTCACATGCTGCAGATATTCATACAGAGAAAATTCTTCATCATTAGTTCTGGTACTAAAAATGAGGCTGTACCGAGAAAACAAACAGGGACTTGCATTTTCTCAACCCAAACATTTTGCCAGATGCCATGTTTTGTGTTAAGAGGAATTAATAAGAAAAATCTTACAAACCTAGGTGCACCTGTTTTATATATTCAATCAATGAGGCTTTGTTTTTATTCCAGAAGAATGGAAGCTTCTCCTCATGAGGATATTTACAGCACGACAGCTCCAATGTAATTTCAAAACACTGGGCCCAGATGTAGTTGTAATCTTGCATTCCACCTAAACACAAGCATATTTAATTTTTTAAGGTCTAAAATTGGAACGGAGTCAAGTATCCTGTACCTTGGGGACAAATGAATCCGTTGCAAAGAAAGTACATTTAAACAGGAAAAGATGAATTTGACATATTAGCATATAAAGTCACGGCCTGCCATTTTATTACCCAGGCATGAACAGGCAATCCTAAATGTTCCCATATGGGTAACTGGATCAGAGCTAAGGTTCAACTGTGCATCAAAACCAACTGAGGGGCAGGGGAAGGGTCAGCCTTTTTCCCCCCCCGATCATACATTACAAAAAGGATTCATCAATGTACATTTCTTCTGTGAAAATCATTTTAAACTGAGAGTGATACTTCTAAAAAATGTTTTTGCAAACCATTCATAAATACACATGTAAGCTAAGTATACTCATTTGGCGGAATAATAGTGGCTGACATTTAGTGAGTGTTCACTATTACCGGGCACTGTTTGAAGAGTTTGTTGCCCGTATTTTACAGATGGGGAAACAATCACATATGGTAAGTAACGTGCCAGTGAAGGCCGAGCCCAGAGCACAGGCTGTCTTGCGGACCCCGTGCTCTTATGACACCAAACTGCTTCAGGGGATGAAAGAAAGGCTGCTGTGCTAACTCTCGGGAGAGAAGGGACCCAGGCCCCCTTGCGTCCGGGGCTGCCGTCACCTGTTCTCAGTTTCTGGTTCTTACCTCTGAAAACCCAGTTTTCAAAAGGGTATAATCGTATTTCCTATCTTCTAAGATGCAAGATTTTCATATTTTAAAATCTCTGAACTGGATGTGTCTTAAATTTGATGGCTAAAAACCATCATTGTGGCATGAGTTTGGCCAGAAACATTTGTTTTTTCTTCCTTGGTGGTACGGTGTATTTTCCAACCAGTGGCATCTTGGATTTTGAAATATGGTAACTTTGAAGGAAGGACTTTCGGCCAGATTTCAACTTGTTGTACTTGATAACTGCCTATAAAATAGATATTCTCAATTCCATCAGGGTATTTCGGAAGTACTGAATTAGAAAAAAACTCATACTAAGAAAATAGTCAAGATACATCAAAATATTATCTAGATTAATATCTATATAGATCTAGATTCTAGCAGGAAGAATTTCTATGTCCTTTCTAGATCCTTTACTCACCTTCTAAGTTTTGTATTTCTGTCTGAGATCATTTTCACCAAGAAATAGAAAACAGAAAAAAGGACGAGAATAATAAAACAGAAGCCCTTGGCTGGACGGCTCTCGGACAGAAAGAATTTAAATGGCAAAACAGGTGTACAGAGCACGCAGGGGTGAGGATGCTTACGTGTGGAGAGTGTGTGCGCCTGTGGATGAGGCACGCCGGGCCCCGAGGACAAAACCTCCAGGCTGAGCCAGGATGCTGTGTTCTAAGCTCCTCAACGTAGCTGGCTCTGCCTGCGTTTTCCCTCAGGAGACACAGCCGACACACAGCGACACTCGGAAACAATTCCCAACGGCAACACCAGGTTCCTAACTAACCTCCTGCA